TGTATGTGTGGGGTGGTAATCAGGATGGTTTAACTAAAGTACATGATAGTGAAGAGAAGAGAAGGATCACTAGTAATATACAGCACTTTACTCCTTCAACTGGTCAATGGATCACTAGAAGTACTACTGGTACTCCTCCATTAGGAGTGAGAGCATACTGCTGTACTGCAATAAATGATCAATTGTATTATTTCGGGGGCTATTGTGGCCATGACGACTGCCGTCACAACAGTATTACACAACTGGATACTGTTAGTCTTCAATGGAGAGAATTAGAACCAACTAATGCAACTAGACCAGTTATGAGGAGAACTCATGGTGGAATGATATCATTTGAACATGATGGAGTACACCATTTACTAATGATAGGAGGAGCAGGATCTAAACCAGCTGTACAACTACCTCATTATAAATATATTCAGTTATCTAATGAAAGATGGCGTACTAATGAGCACTCAATGTATAATCTATCATCAAGTAAGATTTTATATTACTGTTTGAAATTATGTTAATAATAATAATTTAGGAAAATGGAATAATCCTTCAATCATTGGTCAGTGTATATCACCTGCTAGTGCCTTTATCATTGAAAAGATCAACAACACTAGAGCTGTTCTGTTTGGTGGAACAGAGACTGATGATGATGCTAAGAATACTGTTACTAACAATATTTATATATTAGAGATATCAGTCAGCACTGTGGTATGTTGAATTATGTGTACTGAATGTATGCACACACACACACACACATGTCATTGTTAATGGGTGTGGTTATTTTATTTTTAGTTCTGGCAGTGTATAAAGAAACCTGAAGCAATAGACCAATGGCCTGTGGGTAGATATTATCATGCAGGTGCTATTATTATAACTGGATCAGACTGTCCTATGCTAGTGATAAGTGGTGGGGCGGATAAGAATAATGATACATTAGATGATTGTTGGATCTTTAACATCACTCAACATTCCTGGATAAAGGTATGTTAGATATTATTAATAATTGATCTGTACAGTGAGATACATGTAAATTATTAATTTATTTCTATTAACAGTTAGATGTACCTCACTCTGCTAGTAAGAGACATGGTCATTCTCTCTCAGTGTTCCTTATGAGTCCTCATTGTGTCTGGATAATAACTGTTGGAGGATGTGTTGATAAGAGAGGGACATTAGTCACTAATCCTAACATTGTTATGATAACTGAACTAGGTCAGTGTATTAGCCACACCCACCAATGAATACTATTAATTACCTAATTATTATACCATATAGTGCTTTAATTTGGCAGATTTTTATTTTTGGTTTGCAAGCTGAATTGCCAATATTAAAACCGCCAATCATTAATGCACATGCTCAGTAATGCACGTGTACACAAAAATTGCCAAATT